GCAACACTTTTCTCTTTCCCTCCTCTTTAGCCATTAGCTGGCTAATGAGTGGAAAAAATGAACAAAGCTCTCAGGAGAGAAGCAAAAAAGTCTGCTAAAGTGTTATGAAATCGGAAGATGAGTTCGAACTGGCCTAACACTAACAAAACATAGGAGAATAGGGGTGGTGCTTTATCCATTTAAACTTCAGTTTCCTCATCTTTAAAACAGGATATTAGAAGCTATTTCCTAGGGTCGTTGTAGAGGGGAGGCACAGTAAGTAGATACTGAGAATCAGGAACAAAGGTGTGTGACCTCTGGCAAGTTGTTGACTATCTGTGGTTCTCATTTTCTGTTGACTAGGCAGTTTCATGATAACTTTTGGCCCAGTTATATCAGGACATTGGGTACTTCCTATTTGGAGAGGGAAGAAAGTTGTTTTTAAGGAGGAGCTTTATGATAAAGCATTACATAAGATATAAATTATTTCTCTTTGTAACTGGATCCTCAATCAACGGAGGAGGCAGCTTAGTGAGAGGATTTGAGTCACTAAGCTCTGTGAATTCTAGTCCAGAGCAAACAACTGCCATATGCTAGTGCTAAATTCCCCTCTTCATTCTGCTGAATCATTGCATCTCCGTTTTCCATGATAAGGAAGCACAATAGACAAAAACCTATTGTACTTATAAAACAGGTTGATCGCCCAGCTAGTATGGCTCAGTGGTTGAGCGTGAACCTAAGAACCAGGAGGTCATGGTTTGATTCCCAGTCAGGACACATGCCTGGGATCTGGGCTCAATGCCCAGTGTATGGCTTGCAGGAGGTCGCCAATCAATTATTCTCTGTCATTGATGTTTCTATCTCTCTCCCCCTCTCCCTTCCTCTCTGAAATCAATAAAAATATATTTTAAAAAACAACAAACAGAAAACCCAAAACAATTTGATTAAATATGTTTCCACAATAGTCTTTACTTTCTAAAGCTTAGATTTTTGAATCTCACTTTAACAATGTGGATATTAAAAACATTTTGGTATTAAAATTCCAGTCCACTCACTTTTTCAGAGATATATCCATTGAGTAAAGAGAAGTATATGTTTTGTCTCAAACTCCTCAACAACAAAATGCTCAAGAGAATTAATGTTTTCTAAATAGTACTTTGGATTTTGGATTTAGAAAGAAAATGCAACTGTTTCTCTCTAAGTCCTGGCTCTGTGATTCATGCTTTTAATGAGTCCTGTGTGTTTCCATTCATGCAATGATAGATCTAGTTCTTTCTCTTGTTGGAGGCATTGAGTTTCATTCTCAGTTTCCTGGCTATGTCCAGTTCCTATGCAGCCTGGGATAAGTCATACACAACCAAAGTATCTCCTCCTCTTATAATAATAACCAAGGAAGTGTGCACATATGCACACACCTACACAAACAACAAACATAACCGACACTAAGCCTCATGAAACAATGATTACCTGTTCTACCTAATATGCACTCTGATATTTCCTTTTTTTTTTAATTTCATTTTTTAAGTTGGTGGACACCACTTAACCTTGAGCAAGTTACTCTGGAAGCCTCAGTATCCCCAACTGTAAAAGGAAAATAATAAAAGAATCCATCTCAGGTGATTTTTATAGGATTAAGTGAAGATAAATAGGTGAGAGAATTCCCATTGTATAGTAGGCATTGAACAAATGTTAATTTCATTCCATATACTGTCAAGTTAACGCAGTAACATTAATTTTCTAGCTTATAAAAAACACCAAGTATAGGAAAATGTAGAATTTCAAAAAAGGTAAGGAATTAGCACCTTGTTTTTGTGGAAAGAATTAGAGTCTTTTGAGCTGCAATTGAGTGAGTCTCTGCCCTAGGTTCAGCTTTTGAACAAATGCAGCACAACCTCCACGGTGCTGAGGACTGACTCTGCTCCCTCCTTCTCCTCCCTCTCAATGAAGTCCTCTGGTTTCAAGGTGCCTCACAGGCCCCCAGGGCCTACACCTGGGTGGTTTCTAGCCCTGCCTTTTTTTCATTCATTTTTAGATTTCCATTTCCATCCCTAGCGGGAGTATGACTGTGAACGTGCCTTTGGTTTCATGAGCTGAATAATGGGTGTAATAACTAATTTATGGGGCTGTTATGAGGATTAAAGATATAATGTGTTCAAAGAGCCAGAATCATTAGGAGATTTTCAATAGTCATTACTTTCATAATCCTTTCCCTCCCTGTAACACCCAAAAATACATCTTTACCACACCCTCTCCCCTATTGCCTGCCAAGTCAATCAGATTTTACCCAATAGAAACATGACAATGGTTTGGAATAATTTCGCTAGGGTGGCTAGTGATGAGTGAGAAACCAGACCAAGAAATACGTTCCAGAGGTTCTTCCAACTCTGCCACAGAGAAGGCAGATACTTCCTCAGCATTGTTGGTGCTCTTCTACCCCACATCAGAAAGTGAATGTTTGCTTTTGTGTTTCATTCATTCATTCATTCATGTTTAGAGAAACCAGGAGACTGCATCATGGCTGGGAAGCCCAAGCTTCACTACTTCAATGCACGAGGCCGAATGGAGTCCATCCGGTGGCTCCTGGCTGCAGCTGGAGTCGAGGTGGGTTCTGAGTTCTGTCATCTTAAGTTGGATCTAAAATGGACTGTATCAAAGCACTTTTGTTGCCGGACAGGGGCAGGCTCAGAGAGGGTCTGCCTCAGGCCAGGGTGTAGTGTGTAGATTCTTGACTTGGTGTAGGAAAGGTTTCACAACACGAGTTCAGGTGATTTTGAGGGTACTGTAAATGTGTTTGTTTAGCTTTTTAAAAGATGGGGAAGTGAAACAAAGGAAGGACTTACGGGAGAAGAAGCAACAGGAGAGAGGCTAGGTAGTGGTCTGCTTTGGCTCCCTAGAAACGTTAGAGCACATGTGTCAAACACAAGGCCCAAGGGCCAAATCCGTCCCGCCAGGCCTTGCAATGTGGCCCGCACCGCGCTGTCATCACTGCACTCCGCTGCGTTTCCATCACAATGACAGTTTATGACTGTTCAGTAAACCATTCGGCCCAAGATTTAGGCTGGATTTTAGATTTTGGCCCCTTCTCTGATTGAGTTCGACACCCCTACGTTAGAGGAAAGAAGTGAGCCAAGGAGGGGATGGCTTTAGCTCACTGGGAAGTCAGAGAAAAGGGGGCCTTGGAGACAGGATGAGGTGCTGAGCCTGCTGCTCTCCTGGTTGCAAGTCTCATGGAGACCTTTAGAGTTTCAGAGGAAGTAAAAAGTTCATGCCCAAGAAGGGGCATGGGTGTGCTCTAGAATGAGCCTGCACTGGTCTTTATCCTGAGGGCTTTTTATCTTTTTTTTTTTTTTTTTTTTCCTGTGGAGGAAAATCTTAGAGAGGAGGGAGGGTGGCTCATAGAATATTCATCAGCTTTGCAATTGTGTTTTTAACATGTTGATGCATCCAAATAAGTGTATAGGGAATTCAGGATTATTCTTTGGTCTGCTTTACTATTTTACTTTTACCTCAGGTCTGTCTGGTTCTAATGGGGTTTTTGTTATTTTTTCCCCCTGACTTCATTTTTCCTTGGGTTTGGATGGCACAAATGGCATTAATTGGGTCTCTGTATTCTATTTCCCTGACCAGGTGAGTTAACCTAGGTATTCTCTGGTCAGGGAGAATTATTAACCTTTTGCTCCCAAGTGTCCTAGGTTAGGGAAGATTTGGTCTTGTGTTTCACTAGCTGTCCATAGGTTCGAATTGTTTGGCCTGGTTTAATGTTCTTGTCTCAGTTTCCCTATTCCACTTGCCCAGGAATTTTCCTAGCTTCATACTGTCCTGACACACTTTCTCAGTAAGCTATAAGCTTTTTTAAAGCTTCTGATGAGTTTTACATTAAAACGAAAACTGCCAGTTATTAAGAGATGAACAGATTTAACCTAATGTATTATTAAAATTTCTTCTCACCCTGTCTGGTTTTGCTAAGTGGTTAGAACAATGGCCCCCAAAGTGAAAGGTCACTGTTTAAATTCCTGGTCCAGGGCACATACCTGCATTGCCAGATCTATCCCCACCCTGGTCAGTAAGGGTGAGGAAGGCAACCAATGTCTCTCTCACATAATTGTTTCTCTTTCTCTCCTCCTCCTCTTCCTCCTCCTCCTCTTTCTCTTTCTCCTTCCTTCATCCCTCCCTCCCTTCCGCTCTCTCTCTAAAGAAAAAAAAAGTAATGGAAAAAATATCCTTGGGTGGGGATTAACAACAACAACAACAAATTCTTCTCATTAAGGAACACAAACAATTAAAATTTAAAGAAACTAATCACAATGTGTGGGACTTATTTGGATTTGAATTTAAACACACTGTAAAATATCATTTGTAACATTTATGCAACATTAAAAACATGAACATTGATTGAATATTGGATGATATTAAAGAATTATTGTTGATGTTTTAAGTGTGATCATGTATTGTGGTTATTTTAAAAATAGTTCTTATGTAATTTAGAGGAACGGATTGAAGTATTTAAAGGTAAAATATATGATGTCTAAAATTGGCTTCAAACTATTACAAGAGCGGGAGAGTGGGCATAAACACGACACAGGGTTGGATTGAGTCGGTAATTATTGAAGCTGGGTGATGGGTGCAGGATGATAATTTTCTGTTTATTTTTATGCTAGAAATTTCCATAATAAAGAGATAAAAAATAAAACACTATTATAAAATAAATGTAATTTAAGTTAAAGCCTAAACCAGAAATATAGGGAGAAGCAGACTGTAAGAAACTGTGTGTTAAAAGATTTAATACACCCAATCAGCAAGGATTTTGTTGAGCACCTTTCAGTGCCAGCTTCTGTGCTCAGTTCTGGGGATACACAGAAGAACAGGACAGACAAGGTCCCTGTCCTCAGGAAGCTTGTAATTCAGTCAGGATGCAGACAAGTAAACAGATGAATAAAAGAAGAATGGGAGCACCTAAGAGCACAGCCAAGCACTTACCTTGTCAAAATTCCAGATTCTCTGTGGAAAACTGGTCGTTTCTATGGCACTCTGTTTAGTTCTGCCCTCTAGAGGTGTTAAAGAGAAACACACCTCTCAATTAAAATAACTTTAAGAAACTAATTTTAAAATAATTCTTTAAATAACTAATTTTAAAATAAGAGGGCACTGGGATCTCTGTGGAACCCAGAGAGGGATAAACTCATGGATTTGGTCCCTTGGGCCAGAGCAGTAAAAGAGGTTTTCAGGTGAGGTAGCATTGTGTGACAGGAGCTTCCCTTCAAGTGCCCTCCTAGTGTTATCTCTCCATAGTAGATGTACCTTGGCTTGTACTTTCTTGATTGTTTCATGAATGCATAGGGGTTTAGCTTGGTCCTTTCTCTATTTTATAATTTTAAAAAAATACTCAGAAATTCAAATAGTGCCACCAAGTTTTTTCTCTATATACACCAGTAGCCCAACGTTTTTGTTGTAGTCCAGACTTCAGCTTTGGGGTTCAGCACAGGAGGTGAGCAGCACGTGATTCTGGGAGCATCCCAGGCTTCCTCTCCTCTGCAACAGCTTGACTGAAGAGGGTGTGGAGCAAGGAAAGTAGGTCAACAACAGAGTATATTTTCACCAAGGTTTGATTGCTTTAAATTTAACAAATAAAGGAAGAGGATGGGTGATATGAAAAGCAGCCATCCTTAAAACATAATGACAACTTATATTTACTGAGCACCTACTGTGCACCTGGTACTGATCAAAGGACTTTGCATACCTAACTGAATTTATTCCGGTCAACCTATAGCACAGATACCATATCTACACACATTTTATAAATGAAAATATAGACATGCAAAGAGTCAGTAATATGCTCAAGCTCAAGAAAACAGCACATGAAAGAGGTGATATTCACATCTACGGATCATATCAAAAACCAAAGATTGTTTTTTGATCAAAATTTAAAAACTGATTTGGGGGCCCTTTCTTTAATTGGGAATTCTACCTTAGTGTGTGTCAGACTTTTCAAAAGAGTGGAAAGGGTTCATGTAATAAATGGGGGGGGGGGGGGAAACACAGAAGAAATCTCCAGAAAAAAAACCAACAACTAAATTAAATGAAAGCAAGCAAACTACTAGATATGGAGTTCAAAACAATGGTTATGAGGTTGCTCAAGTATATTAATGAGTCTGCTCAAGTATCTTCAAGGGACTTGGTGAGACTTTCAAGGATATGAATGAGAATTTCAAGAAAATTAGTGAGAACATAGGTGACCTGAATAAGAACCAGTCAGAAATTAAGCATACACTAACTGAAATAAAGAATAATTTACATATAATAATCCAAGCATACAAACATTCATACTATGGGGGTGCCAGGAGAAGAAGAGAGAGAGAGTGATATATTGAAAACCTATTTGAAGAAATAATGAAAGAAAACTCCCCACTACCTGGTGAAAGAAATAGACTTACACGTCTAGGAGGTACAAAGAGTCTCAAACAGGCACACACCAAGACACATCATAATTAAAATGCCAAGGTTTAAAGACAAAGAGAGAATTTTCAAAACATCATCAGAAAAGCAGTTAGTTACCTACAAGACAGCACCCAGATGACTTTCAGCTGATTTTTCAACAGAAACTTTGCAGGCCAGAAGGGAATGGCAAGAAATATTCAAAGTAATGAATAGGAAGAAATTACAGCCAAGATTGCTCTACCAAGCAAAGCTATCATTTAGAATTGAAGGTCAGATAAAGAGTTTCACAGCATGACATGAAATATTGAAGGGTATTCTTTAAGATGAGAAAGAGAAGAAAGAGGAGAAGAGAAAAAAGAAGGAGGAGGAGGAGGAAGAAGAGGAGGAGGAGAATGAGGCAATAAATACATATGTATCAACAATTGTATTTAAAAATTAAAATAAACAAACAAGGAATCTAATGAGCAAAATAAATCATGAATAAAATAAAACCAGAAGCATGGACAGGGAACAGACTGATAAATCTCAGAGGTAAGGGGGAGAGGAAGGGGAAAGATTAACCAAAGATCTTTAAAACAAAACAAAACAAAACAAAAAAAACCCACAAAGATCTTATATGTATATATGCATTACCTATGAACAAAGACAATAGGGTGGTGAAGGCCTGGAATGAAGTGGGAACTAGGTAGTGGGGGATCAATGGGAGGGGCGGGGAAAGAAGAGTATCTGTAATACTCACAATAATAAAGTTTTGTTTTTTTTTTAAGTTCTATACTTCTATGGAATGAGTAATAAGAACTTCTTTACTGTTTCTGCTTTCCAGTTTGAAGAGCAATTTTTGCAAAGTCCAGAAGACCTGGAAAAGTTAAGAAATGGTAAGACTATGTATCTAAATTCTCTGATAATGGTATCTATAAAGTCAATAGTGAGGTTTGAACACCAAGCAATGCCTATTTGTGTGCATGGGAGCTGGCAGGGGTGGGGTGGGGGGGCATAGAGAGGAAGAAAAGTGGTTCAAGTATAAGAATAAGGGTCCTTGAGCAGGTCTTATCACTCATTTAGAATACTAGGGCTTGAACTCTCAGAGTATTTGCCAAGCAATCACCTCCTGTGAGCTGGAATACCCCCTCTTTGCTTCTCCTGCCTTTCTGCATACACCATGAGTGAAGGTGTGTCTGCTCAGGACTCCATCTATCCATCCACACTCAAACACATGAATCAAGGTGAAGAGAGTAGAAATAAGCCCAGTAGTTGCCTTCAACATGGCAGGTTTGACACGACTCAGGCAGGTTTGACAAGGTAATATCCCAGTAGTATTACAGACTCAGATAACAAGATGGTGTTGAATTAGTTGGAAGGCCACACGATAGTAGGAAAGGAAGAGGAAGAGAAAGAGCCAGCAGCATTGGAGTCTGGAAAGCAGGGCCTGCCTGCACACAGTGATCAGTGCTGGAGTTTGTAGAGCGCACAGAACAGCTACATAGAAATCTCACTTAGAATTTGCCTTAATGCCACGAACTCCACCAGACTTACTTTGGGAACTCCCCATTGGAAATGGCACCTGGCTGGTGGCCCTTGGCAGCCTCTCTCCAACTTCTTCCTAAATTATTCATGAAGATAAGTCAATTAAAAAACACAGGCACCGCCGAAACGGTTTTGGCTCAGTGGATAGAACGTCAGCCTGCGGACTGAAAGGTCCCAGGTTCGATTCCGGTCAAGGGCATGTACCTTGGTTGCAAGCACATCCCCAGTGGGAGGTGTGCAGGAGGCAGCTGATTGATGACTTTCTCTCATCGATATTTCTAACTCTCTATCCCTCTCTCTTCCTCTCTGTAAAAAAACAATAAAATATATTTAAAAAACAAACAAACAAACAAAAAAACAACAAAAAACACAGGCACCTACATGCATCTGGATGGGAAGTGAAAAAAGATAAGTGAAATAATAAATTAAAAAAATAAAAGGAAAATTGTGAAGAAAAAGGTTACAGGAAGTGGAAACCCAATACAATTTCTATTAAAACGTTACCAGGCCATAATTTTTTGTTTCCATTCATATCTTTAGTTATTTTAACAAACATCTTTTCATCCTATGAGTGCGGAGACATTTCACTCTACTTTTTCTTTTCTTCTTTCACAAGATGGGTCTTTGATGTTCCAGCAAGTGCCCATGGTGGAAATCGATGGGATGAAGCTGGCACAGACCAGAGCCATTCTCAACTACATTGCCACCAAATACAACCTGTATGGGAAAGACATAAAGGAGAGAGCCCTGTAGGTATTTGTGTGTGTGTGTGTGTGTGTGTGTGTGTGTGTGTGTGTGTTTCCATCAACAAGTATTAAAAATTTAGATTCTTCATTGAATGAGCCTGATTGTGTCGTGGGATCATAACCAGCAGCAGCATGGGCCTTGGAGATAAAGGCTTAGGACCAGGCCAGCAGAGAGCATGAGGAGGAGGGATTCCCCTTCTTAGAGAAGATTCAGTCCATGGCTGTAGCACAGGCAGTGACAGAGGTTTCTAAACACTGGTGAACTACGAAGCCAGGAGGATGGTGGAGTCATGACTCCAGGTGCTCAGACCATTAAAGAAGAGGCTGTGGGAGGAAAGGATCAAAAGGAGCTAATTTTGCCAAAACTGGTTTGGCTCAGTGGAGCGAGCATCAGCCTGAAGACTGAAAGGTCCCAGGTTTGATTCTGGTCAAGGGCATGTACCTTTGTTGCTGGCACATCACCACTGTGGGGTGTGCAGGAGGCAGCTGATCGATATTTTTAACTCTCTATCTCTCTCCCTTCCTCTCTGTAAAAAATCAATTATATATATATTTAAAGGAGCTAATTTTAAATATATATATTTTATTGGTTTTTTTTTTTTTTTTTTTTTTTACAGAGAGGAAGAGAGAGGGATCGAGAGTTAGAAACATTGATGGGAGAGAACCATCGAGTAACTGCCTCCTGCATACCCCCTACTGGGGATGTGCCAGCAACCAAGGTACATGCCCTTGATCAGAATTGAACCCGGGACTTTTTCAGTCCGCAGGCCGATGCTCTATCCACTGAGCCAAATTGGTTTCGGCAAGGAGCTAATTTTTAAGGTCCAGAAATTACAGGAATAGTTTGCAAGAACTGACTTTATTAGCCTGTTGTGGGGACTGGCCACTTGACAAAGGTTTGTAAAGATTGGTGCCCAAGATGCTACAATTGCCTGGAGCATTTTGATGTAAGTACTGAAGCAGCCAGATTTATTCAATACCACTACATCTGGGAAGGGGTCTCCTTTCTGATGTGATGGGACCACATGATTGAAACTAAAATCTTGTAAGGAACTATCTGACAGTTACCCAAAACATTAAACATAGATTTACCATATCAGCACCTCCACTACTAAGTATGCATGAACCCAAAAGAATAAAAAATATATCCACACTCAAACTTGTACAAAAATGTCCATAATGGCATTATTCATAATATTCAAAAAGTGTCCATCAACCAATGAATGGATGAACAAAGTTTTGTATATCCATGATTGTAATATTATTTGGCCATGAAAAGGAGTGACCATGGATAAGCCTTGAAAGCATTATGTTGCATAAAAGAAACCAGACATCAAAGGTGCAGGTTGTATGATGTCATTCAGATGAAGTGTCAAGAACATTTCTTTTCATAGAAGCAGAAAGCAATTTTGGTTTCCAGGGGCTAGGAGACAGTGAGGTGGGAGTGGGGAGGAGAGAAAGAATGTGGAATGCTGCGGGAGCACACAGCATTTCCCTTGGGGGTGTGGAAATATTCTGAAATTAGAGTGCAGTGATGGTACAGAAATTTGTGAATTTATAAAAAAAATCACAAAATTGTACATTTTAAAAAGTGGCATTGTGGTGTTTGAATTAAATGTCTATAAAATTGATACCTCTTAAAAAAAGAAAACATCTTATAGGAAGCCCAGTTAGGCACAATAAAAACCTATCTCCTGGACTATACGCTGGTTGGAACTATATAAAGAATCACACCCATTCAGGGGATGTTTGAGGTGGAGTCTTGAGCAGTGCAAACAGGGCCAAAGTTTAGAAACAACACTTGAAGTGGGTTGGAAACTGTGTTCTATGCGGACGTGTTCTATGGGGACTGTGTTCTATGGGGACTAATTGGAAGAACTGCTAATATTGGGCATGTAAACGGGCCTGGGTGGTATTACAAGATGTGAGAGGGAGAGGGACATGACTGAGATGTCTGTGCCAGGGACTCTGCAGAGTCCTCAGGTGGCAGGCCTTCAGCTTTATGGATCATATGGAGTTTGTGCCCTGAACTAATCACAGCAGAGATGGCAAACCCTAGGTAGCATCTCACTGGGAACCTGCAGTGACTCCAGCATTTCTCCCTGCCTGTGACTCTGGACACCTCACTGATGTTCTCTGTCAGAACATTTGGTCATGGGCATAACAAAAATTTTAGACATAGATATCCACCTTGATATGAAATGTTAAAATTAAGAGGAAATCATAGCTGAATGACCTGCATATAAAAATGCACCCAATGGAATTGCCCTCTTCTGTTTCCCCATTCTCTTACATTTTTAAACTATAACATGTAAGGCAGGTGACAGTTGACAATTGGGTCATTTTTGTCTTTCAGGATTGATATGTATTCAGAAGGTATGGCAGATCTGAATGAAATGATCATGCATTTGCCACTATGCCCACCTGATCAAAAAGATGCCAAGATGGCCCAGATCAGAGAGAGAACAACAAATCGTTATCTCCCGGCCTTTGAAAAGGTAAGCGGGCTGTTTAGTGTTTGGGGGCACTGAGACTAGAGGACCAAGAGAACTGGTGCTTGGGCAGTCCTGGGTCTTTGACCTTCACTTCCAATGGGCCCTCCTAACTACTGATGGAGCACCCTGGTTCTCCAGGGATGTTATCAAAATCAGCTGCAGGGAGGATATGTACCAGTTATACCCAAGTTATAATCTGTCAGCAAAAATTTTTTTTAAACAAATATATTTTTACTGTTTTCAGAGAGGAAGGAGACGGAGAGAGAGATAGAAACATTAATGATGAGAAAGAATCATTGATTGACTGCCTCTGCATGGAATCGAGCCTGCAACCCAGGCATGTGCCCTGACCTCCTGTTTCATAGGTTGATGCTCAACCACTGAGCAACACTGGCTGAGCCAAAATTTCAATTTATTAGGACCTGATTTAGAATTCTCTATTTGATAGCATTTTATGGCTACATTTAGGGTGTGGGCTGTGGAAGGCTCTGGGAGTCAAAACTAACAATTGGAGTGGATTTGGCAGAACACCATGAAGGGGCTTTT